TCCCCTCCCCCTCCCTCCTCCCCTCCGGTCCTGTCTCCAGCGGGAGCGCGAGACGCTGGTCAGGCTCCGCGGCGCAGCTCAAAAATGAATAATCGCCCCCGATTGACTTAAATTCCACCGAAGCCGGCGCCGCGGCCGCCCGCCGCTCGGGATCTGCTTGCTGTGTTTTTGCTTTCTCCATTCTTCCTTAAAAAAAAAAAAAAAAATAGCAAAACAAAACCAGCCAGCCAACCAAGAATCCGGTTTGTTGATCGCCTATATTTTTCCCCCCACCGTTTGCGGGATTTGCAAACCGAATTACATGCATGTCCAGTGGGGGTAGGTTTAATTTTGACGATGGAGGGTCCTACTGTGGAGGCTGGGAGGACGGCAAGGCGCACGGCCATGGCGTCTGCACCGGCCCCAAGGGCCAGGGCGAATACACCGGCTCGTGGAGCCACGGCTTCGAGGTGCTGGGCGTCTACACCTGGCCCAGCGGCAACACGTACCAGGGTACTTGGGCGCAGGGCAAGCGCCACGGCATCGGCCTGGAGAGCAAGGGGAAGTGGGTGTACAAGGGCGAGTGGACGCACGGATTTAAGGGGCGCTACGGGGTGCGGGAGTGCACGGGCAACGGGGCCAAGTACGAAGGGACCTGGAGCAACGGGCTGCAGGACGGCTACGGCACCGAGACCTACTCAGATGGAGGTAGGTGCGCCGGTGCGGGCGGGCTGGGGTTGGGCGGAGGAGGGACCTCTTGCCTCTTCTGTTTATCTCTGGGGAAGTTGAGCTTCTCCCTCCAGTGGGGCCATGGGCACCTGGGCATTTCCTGGGGTTCTCTGGAGGCCCAGCTGCCCTGGCTACAGGTTGCCCCACTGCTTGGTGGGGGACAGCACGCCTGTGCCAGCTGAAGATGTTGGGGGCTTTCCAGGAGCAGAGCCAGGCCCTGGAGTTGCGGAGTTGAGCAGAGTGTCTGTGCATCATCCAAGAGCAGGCCAGAAACCTGCGGAAAGGCCAGCTTGGGCCTACGGCCTCCTCTGGGACCCATGGAGGGCGGAGAGGGGCTGGGAGAGGGCCCCCTCCCCTTGCTGACAGAGCTCCCTTGGTGTGGGCCTCCTGGAGTTAGGCCCCGGCTTTGCTTCTTGTTTTCCTGCGGTGCCAGAGGGCCTTCCTCAGACCTGATCAACTCAAGCCAATGGAAACGGAGCGATTGGGAGAGCTATAGGCGGGGGACAGGAACCCCAACCAACACAACAAGGCAATAAACTTCTAGGTGGTTGGACATGGGCTAGCACTGTCGGAGCAGGCTGCTGAAAGGAGGGAGGGAGGCCCATCTGTTTAGTGAGAGCCCAGGAATCTCACCGTTCAGGGGCTGAATCATATTCCCCATTAGTTCAGGGAATGCTCTGTGCCTTCATTCTAAGATGCCACCACATTCAGGGCTGAGCTGGTGCAGGAAGCCAGGGAGCTGCCCACCACTGCTGTAAGATGATTTCTGTGCCGGGGGCCTTGCGGCTACACCCTGCCCCAGACACCTCAGTATCCACTCCTTGGTGCATCTGAAAAGTGTGGAGCATTTACTGTTCCTGGAAGCCAGACCCCAAACCAGCCTGCTCTCCAGATGCAGCCCCCGCCCCCCACCCCACCTCCTCCCCAGTCTGGGAGCTCCTCTTCACAAGTGGCGAGGTAATTTTTCAGGCTCTGGCAAGCAGTGGGGGCACAGCAGTGACTGTGTGCTTCTGGTGGGCATAGAAATCAAGAGTGTATGTGTGGTCTTCTCCCTGCCTCTCGCTGCCTCCAAGTCTCATGAAGCAAGTGTTCAACACCTGCTCCCCGGCCACATCCAGGGGTGACAGAGGGCTGGAGAGTAATTATTATTTTGGCTTATGCAACTGAGAGGCAGGGTTCATTATTCCTCAAAGGGGAGGAGGCGTGGGGGGCAGTTAATTATATAATGCTCCTGCCTGTCACAGCCGTGCCCAGCCCTGGTCCCAGGCGGCCTCTTCCGTGCTGCTGTTGTTTTCATTGATCACGTTGGAGAGTTCTCTGACCCTGGGGTGTGGGGGCCCGGCCAGCAGACAGACCTGCTGGGTTCCAGGTCGTGTGTGTGTGTGTGTGTGTGTGTGTGTGTGTGTGTACACAGTGAGGCCCTGTAGTAGATGCGAGTGGTCCAGCAGCCTAGCACACCCAGCTGGGCACTTTGGGAGCCCAGGGGCAGTTATTACCCATGGGCTACCAGGCTGCTCTGCTCTGCAGATCCGTCCCTCCAGAGGTGCTCCCAGATGTGCCTGAGCCAGGAGAGTGGCTTCACGGTCCTAGGCAGGGGGCCTCAGGTGGAGGCATGTGGAGGAGAGGAATTAGGAGCTCCCCAGAATATCTGGGGGGGGAGGTCTAGCACCCCAGTGTGCCCATTTTCCCTGGACATCTTTAGTGGCCTGTGGAATTCTGTTCTTCATTCAACACATATCTACTGAGGGCCTACATTGAGCAGGTGCTCTGGACTCTGGGAAAACAGCAGTGAGCAAAGCAGACAGAAAAGTTGCCCTCATAGAGCTTCCACTTTAGAAGGAAGGGTGGTAATTAAGTTGTGATTGCTGGGGGAAGAGAGGATCTGATTCCGTGGCTGGCCATGAGTTTAGGGTCTGACATGTTGATGTGAGAAACGCTTCTTTTATTGGATTTATGTCCTTGGTCTCTATCCCCCATCTAACCAGCTAAGCAGTGTTCAGCTCCTTGAAACCCTTCCCCGCTGCATCTTCTTGCTTGAGTGTCACATGATGGAGGGGATCATGACCACTTTACAGATGAGGGTAGATGGTGGCAGAGTTGAGGGTCTGAGCCCTGATCTGTCCTCCTCATACCACCTGTGTGCCAACAGAGGCAGCATACCAATGCAGGGCGCCACGGCCGGCTGCTCCCTTGTGGTTTGTGATGTGGCATGGCAGAAAATGGAATTGACCCTTCTGGTCTGGGATAATCAAGCCCAGAATCTGGGGCCATTTTGCTGGAACATGGCCCCACTTCTCATTAGGAAGGAGGTGACTGTGGAGAATGTGTACCTTTGAGCAATCCATCAAGCAAGCAGAGCCAAGTGGGGCATCTTAATCCGCCAGAACAAAACAGTGGATTTCTGTGCCTTCCCCCCGAGGGTCAGCTGGTGGGCTGTGATGGGTCTCCCTTCTGAGAGGGCAGAGCCTTTAATAAATTAATGGCTCAGTCCAACTTTCCTGTGCACAGAGGATGGGAATATTGGGCAGGCATCAGCAAGCTCCCAAACTTCAGCCCAGCTCCCAGTGCTGACTTGGGAAAACAGTGATGTTCATGAATAATGCACAAACAGCAAATGTATTCTACATTTAGCTGGAATTGGTATGGAATCCATTTCAGCTGGAGACACTTCTGCCAACGCCTCCTCCTTCAGGTTCATCATCCCCTGAGCAGAAGGCAGGTGTTGCTCATTGAAGTGAGCGGAACGGCTTCCACAGTGTGTTGGGTGACTCCATATAGACCGTGAGGCCGGGGCTGTGGGGTGGGCAGGAGCACATGCTGTGGAGTTTACAGCTGTTGTGCTTGAATCCCAGCTGTGCCTTTGCTCTGTGACCTTGGGCGAGTTATTTGACTTCCCCGAGCGTCTGTTTCTTCACATGTTCAAAGGACTGATAATAACACCTGTAAATTAGGTGGGGGTTAATTGAGGTGGTATATACAGGTATACTAGTAAGCATTCATTATTATTTATCACCGTTTTATTATTACAGTTCACATGCAATGAGTGCCATGTGTCATGATTATTTTTCAGAACAAATAGCCAGACATGACAATGGTGATATTGAAAAGGACAATACATAGCAATAGTTCACACTCACTGTGTGCAGGGAATGAGGCGAGTGTTTGGGTGAATTATAGCACTAAATTTCTGTACCTCTCCAGGACTGTTCCTCCCATTTCCCGCATTGGAAAGTGGAGGCTCAGGGAAGGCAGATGAGCATTGGGCCACACCCGGATTCACGCTCAGGATGGCGCTACCAGAGCCTGTCTTTTGTGTGGAACACCTCTCTCTAAACTGCCAGGTTCCAACTACCTCCTTGTTCCTCCCTCTTCCTCCACATCCATTCTTCTCTTCTGGGTGCAGCAGCCCAGAGTTGTAGGCAAGTGCACTTTCGCAGACACGCCCACCTGGCCCCCCACCTCCAGTCCCACCAGACCCATGGCCTCTTCTCCACTCGCTGGACCCCTACACTAAGCTGCACAGGTAAATATTTCCTCCTGGGTGCCGTGTACATAGGGGTCCCCGGGACCAAAAGTTACCCCCTGCAAATAAACCCTCCCACAGCCTGAAAGATATGAGTCATCTCACACACCCGGCCTCTCCCCCTCATACACAGATTCCGTTCACCGGCCCAGATCCCTCCACCCACACAAATCACACACGCCCACAGTCAAAATTCAGATCTCCCGGCGCCTGCGCGCGCAGGCGCACAGCACACCTGTCACCCAGAGACGTGTTCCATCCTGTCCCCCAAAACACGGCCACGTGCACCCGCCCAACTTTGTTCTCTGGCCAAGTACTCCACCCCCTACGATTCCTGCTCCTGAGAAGCAGCCATCCCAGAGGGAGAGCGCTGGCCTAGAGGAGGGCTCAGATTACAGATGGAGCAGAATGTGTCCTTTCCACTTTAAATATACGTTTATGCAGTTAATGCCCATAGGAAGGGGAAAAACCCTCATCCAAACAAACTAAACAAGCTTTGGGCATGTTTTTGGTACTTAGCCATGAATATGTGACAGTAAATTTTTTTTTTTTTGGTTAATCCTCTCCCGAGGATATTTTTCCATTGATTTTTAGAGAAAGTGGAAAGGAGAGGGAGAGACAGAGAGAAACATCAATGTGAGAGACACTGATTGGTTGCCTCCTGCATGCACCCACAACAGGGCCAGAAAACCTGCAACCAAGGTACATGCCCCGGACCGGAATCCAACTTGGGACTGATGCTCTATCCACTGAGCCAAACCAGGGCAAAAGTAGTTTTTTTAAAAAAAACCCAAATGCCCAGGTTAGGTGGAAGTGGGCCATCAGAACTCCTTTCAGAAAGAAAAAGAATCCAGCACTCAGCTATGGGAGATAAAAGCACCTCCTCAGAAATTCTCTTTCAGCCACTTTGGAGAGGGAGAAGGTGAAATGAGAAGGGAAAAGCAAATAACTAGTTCTTTGTTGCCAATAATAGCTGAGAAAGAAGTGTTACTGAAGACTCCCTCACCCAGCACAGCCCTGGAGCGATTTGACGGGCTTTATATTAGGAAGCCGACGGGCTGGTGAGGAAGTGAGGATCAGCACCCTCCGAAAATAGCCACTCCACCAAAGTCGGCGAGTAGCCTCCGGCTGGTGGTAGCAGTTAACGCAGCTAACCTGACAAAAGGGGGCTGTGGGCCCACCTGGCTAGAGAGAGGGAGACCCCAGAAAAACAGAGGGTGATGGTGGCTGTAGAGGGAGGGCCAAGAACCTCTGCTGTTTTTCTATGAGACTCCTTTGCTACCTCAGTTTCCCTCGGGCCTCCACTACTCTAAAGATAACTAGCTACCAACTCTGAGCTGGTCATTTTGTAGATAAAACTCATTAATGTCCTTAAATGACAAGATGTTTAGAGTTGTGAGCGCTCGAAAAAGAGTGATGTTTGTTTTCATTTTCAACAGTGGTCCATCCCCTCTTG